ACAGAGTAGATTTTTTTTTTTTTCATGAAAAAGACTCTGTGCATAATACAAGACTGAGAGGGAAGGCAACTCAAAGGGCAAGATGGATATGAATATGTACTCTGAAATTTTTAGAGTGAAGGCAGAGGCTAAGAAGTAGTGTGGGAGTAAGTGTGAACATCAGGGTGAAGGTGGACATGCTCCTAGAGTTTTGCAGAAAATGGCAAAGGATCTGGATTAGATGGGGAACTGGATAAGAGCATAATGACAAAGGTGAGGAGTCTTACAAAAACTCCAAGCATTCCCATCACTTCTGTCACTTGTGGAGGAAATGGTTTGACTGCCTTGATGGAGAATTCGAAAATTGGCATTGGAGGATGGTCAGATTAACATTCTGACTGCCAGGAGATGGCAGATTTCTCCTCCCTTGTGCGAGGAGAGTTCAGCATCTCTGCCTCTGTAGACAAGGGAATGTCGTACTGAATTACCTTCCCACCATTTATGTCTGGGGGTTGTGAAGGAACAGGTTTGGATCCCTGTACCACTACTACCGTTAGCAGTGTGGTTGTGTCCGATGCCACTGAGTTTAGTCGGAGCCTCACAGAATGAATGAGCTAGCTTTTTAATCAGATATCGAAGATACCTGACAGATAGGGATTACCTTGGGCAGAAGAAGAGAGAAGAATCCAGAGCTTAACCTTAACATGACTGGTGACAGCCTGCTGAGTGTTGATGATCACCCCTGGAGAAGGGACAGATACTCAAGCTGCCTGTTGGGCAGCTCTTCTGTGGTTCAGAGGTTTTCTGATGTATCTGTCACGTTTTGAACTCATGCTCTGAGACTTGGGCAACTGGGTTTGGTGGGCTGCCTTGAAAGGAAGAGGAAAAGCCTGGAGTGACACCGCTGGAAAGTGCTGCTTCATCAGATCGATAGATTCAAAGATGACTAGGTTGTGTAGTCGTATGCAGTTCAAACATTTGTGCAGGGAGTCCACCCGCACAGAGTATTATTGACAGCTACAGATCAATGCTAATTTTTGATCATTTTCAACCTACAAAGACCTCTTGACCCTGTTGCCACCTTAGGGGCACTTCAAGTAGTCAAAAGCAATCACAGTAGGCAGTGTAAAATCATCAGCCCCTTGAAGGCTGCGCAGCCTTGCCCCTGCCCAGGAGGAGGACCGAGAGGCAGTGAGGGAGGCAGGCACCTTGCATTATGGATGCTGCTGCCTTTGAACGGCATGAAAGACTATGCTAATTAGTTTCCAGACTTTAAGTGACTTCTGTGCTCATGAATTAAAAAATAAACAAACAAAAAAGGCAATCTGAAGCAAATCTTGATGGATACATTATTCATGATTCATGTTCTCTTATTTTAGTTCTGAAAAATGTGTTAAAACAAGGTTTTATTTTAAATAACTTTTATCCTAATTTACAGTTGGAAGAGCAGAATTAGCCGAGGAGCTTATTTGTTGCTGTTAACAGTTTGTGCTGCCACTGTGATGCATTTCACACAGCAAAACCCAAGATGGGGTCCTGCCTGGAGCAGTGCTGTACAAGGGAAGTGGACCCGGCTGCCAAAAGCAAGGGCCGTGTCAAAGGGTGGGCTCTGGGCTGCAGTGCAGGGATGAGATCACAGTGGTTTGTCACATCTGACCTCAGTGTCCCTTCCTGTAGTGTTTACATTGAAAGGACAGGCCTTAAAGGAGGAATGTGGGAGTGTGCACGCTTAAATGTTTGCTGGATTATTCTTAATTTAATGAGTGAGTGAATGGGAACGCTTTGCAGTAGGAGACAGAGAAAGGAGGACATGGGCCTGTAGTCCATCGGATTTTATGGTCATTTGGTCTGCGAACATCTTAACGTTGGCATTAAAATTTTCTTTTGTTAGATTGCTTTTAATGGTGAATGAAATCTGGACTGTTAACAGTGTGTAAACATGGGATATATGAGTTTCATAGCTTTGCAGACAAAAGACTGGGAGCGTATTCCAGGCGATGATTTTGATCCTGTGCCTGTTTAAGGCTATGTCATTGTCTGCTGAAGCCAAAGGTTACAGCCCTATCCTTTGCAAGGTGTATTTTGCTATTGATATTTGACCATTCCATCAGGACAGTATTTCTAGGCTGAAAATGTCATGGGAGGACATAAGGTAATTCTTAAAATTAATCCCTGAGACTGCCATCCATTCTCTTTTCAGCATCAGCCTTTAAGCTGAACAAATTCACAAATGGCAATGGCAGCAGTGCAGGGGGAGAAAACGTGGCTCCGTATTCTGGGAGTATGTCCCCTGAGCTTACTTCAAAACCGAACAAAACAAAAATACATGTAAACCATTTGCTCTTCAAGAAGTATCTGTAGGAGCCAGGGATAAAAATCATCCCTGGAAGGAATGGTTTAGCAGTCTCCAGAGAACATGATGAACTGCAGGCAAGGAAATCCCTCCATCCTTGTTTCATTTCAAAGTGTGGTGAGGACTGTAAATAATTAAATCTTGGGGTTTAGTGGGAAAATGGTAGAGGGTGATGAAAAATATGCCGGTTTTCTAATTAAAAAAAAAGAGATCAAGTATTTTGTAACATTGCTGTCATTAAAGCCCACCCTGATGATGCAGCTGATTAGAAAGCAGAGTCATCGCTTTTGTATGATATTCATAATAATGTGTACCTTCAGAATTCAGGGGCAGTAATTTAATGTTGTGTGCTCCCTTCCTCCCATCCCCACCCCCGAACCATAGAATGTAAATTTTAGGCTTTTAAAAGTTCTGTTTTGAAAACCTAATAGATAACTGTCCTCATAAAAACTATTAATACAGACTACATCCAATTGTAAAGCTAATTTTAATCATGTTTTGTGCCAACATAATTTCTGATGCCAGATTTTTATGCTAAGCATGAACTTCAATTTGAGCTCTGTTCTTTAACCTGCAGTTCATAATTTTGCATTTGGCTGTATAGGTTTTTTGGCGAAGGCAGTTTGAACGCTTCCACTTTCAAAGATCTAAGCCATAAATGTTTATTAAAAGAATCTATAATGAAATCAGTTTTGTTATTTTTTTAATGGCTGCCTTGAGTATGTTGGATGACTGAACGCACGTTGTTAATCATTAAGTACTCATGTTAGAAAAAGTGTTTGATAGTATTGCCATCTAGGGGCTGAACTAAATTCTCCATACTGAAATAAACTGTAATTGAACAGGTGCTGCTATTGACAATATACATATGTTTTTGCTTTATAGCCCACATGCTTTCCATGTTTCTTATGACAAAAGATATCTCTAAATGTCCCACAGCAGCCAGAGCTTTTTTATATATAATCTGTTTGAGGTGATTGCTATTTGCATTTGAGCTTATCCTTTTTTGGCAGTGATGATTGGGAATTCCTAACAAAGAATTATACTTTTTTGCATTATTAATCTTGCTAGTGTTTGCCCTGTTTAACAGAAAAAGGAATCATTTATCAGAAAAGTATGTTTATAATCTCTACTTGTGGCATCTTCAGATTTAATATTCATAATGGTCATTCAAATGCTGTGCTATATTTATCTAAAAGACTAACTCATTGTTGTGAGGAAATAACTATTTAAATATTTATGCTCTAACTTTTAATATTTAAAAAAAGAAATTAATATTTCTTTAAAATTTGTTTCTGAGTCTGATAGCTTAACAAATGTTTAAATATTAAACAATTGGAAGTGTTAACATTTAACAACTTAATACAACTTACTGAAACGGGGAAATTGGCTTCAGCTGTTTCTGCCACGTGAACAAAACTGAATTCCTGCACTCCTTGAGATCTGTATCATGAATGCAAAAACACAACTAAAATTGAGATTAAATGTGTCTGTGAGCAGCTGAACTCCTTTCTTCCTCACCCATCTGATGAGACAAATCTGAACAGTCTCCTACCACAACATGTTACTCCTTTTCCTTGTTAGCCTCCCTATCTTTCGTGGTTGGTCAAATCCAATTCTACAGCTGTATCGCCTTCCTGCTTAGATCTCCATTTGTGCTGAGGCTCGCCTTGCCTCAAATCCCAGTGGTTTCAGGTCTGTGTTGGATGTGGTTTGGGGTGAGCTGGAGGAAGCCGTGAGCAACAATGCCTGTGGTCCCTCCTGGCCACGGCGGATGGCATTTGGGCTGCACGCACCCCCAAGCTGGCCTGTGGTCTGGCCTGGTGGCAGGTCAGCCCCGGCTCTTCCAGCCCTGGCAGTGGGATTCACAACCAGCTGTGATCCTCCCAGCCTCTTTCCGCTGGCACAAGGCGAGAGTATGACACCAGGGAGGCTCTAGCCCACTTGCCTGTGTCCCCATCAGCCGTATGGCTCCTGCCTCTGACCTGGAGAACCAGAGAGGGTTATTGTAAGGCAGCAGCTTGCCCCACACTTGTCTCACCTTGTGAATTTACCTCAAGTGACATCTTTACAAAGCAGGAACACAGAAGTTCATTTCCTCCCTTCCTCTCCTTCTCTTCCCCCCACACCTCACTTATAAGGGGTTTGTGTTCAGCAAGGGAATTAAACTGTGCCCTAGGAAACACTGGTATCTAGCCAGTTTACAGTGCTCTAAGTAGCCAGAACAGGACAGCATGCCTATCAAATGTCTCGTGTCTGCACACAGATGTGTAAGGATTTTGTAGAGGCAGGCATCACTCATATACCACAGGTTTTCACACATACTTGAATCCTTCGTAGTCCTGGGCACTCTCATCCTCACTGAGCAAAGATCAGGCACATGCTGAATTAACTGTGAATTGTTTGCTAGCTGAGCTTTGGACTGTGCAGGACTCCCCAGGAGTCAGCTCCAAAGGCTCTACCATAACAGTAAGTATTTTTTAAAGCATAGGATTTTCCTTTTGAGGTTCAGCTATGGAAACCCACAAAAAAATCCTGGTAACCAGATGGGGTATTCTGCAAAGCGGTCAGGAGCGACCCAGAGCTGAGACCTCATTTTCCAAGTGACATAAACCACAGATGCTGATTACTTCTTTAACTAACTCAAACATCTGTATTCTTGCTTCAGGGAACAAAGCATCAGGCTCATTTATTTGGATTGAAACCTTTCACAACATATCATATTCATGTCGTAGCTGTAAACAATGCCGGGCAGGTTTCAAGCCCCTGGACATCTGTGCGCACGTTGGAAGCTTCACCCAGTGGCCTCAGCAACTTCACTGTGGAAAAGAAAGAAAATGGCAGGGCTCTGTTGCTAAAATGGTCAGAGCCCTCCCAACCCAATGGCGTGATCAAGGTAATCCTCATCTTGACAGTTCACTTGAGCAAAAGAGGAGAAGGGAAATGTTGAATATCAAATTAAAACATTTTTTGCTGAAAAGGACTCAACCAAACGCATTATACTTTTAAATAAGACAAAAGTCCTATGTAAGCACAAGGCATTCTGTGAGAGCTCTCTGCTTGTGGTGATGTTAAAATAAGTATTAACATTCCTGTGCTGCCCCATGACTGCAAATATTCATTTACAGTGAACAGAATTGTTCATCTAACATACAAAAAGCTGTTCATGAAAGCGCATAGTCTTACCTGGCTCACATTAGACATCACCAAACTGTTTCTAAAAATCCTGGGTCTGATAGAATGTTGTTCTGAAATTTGGGAATTTTTTCAGATTGAGTTTTTCAACCAATTGCAAATCTTTACCTGCAAGGTTTGCAGCTAGAGGGCTTTATTTGGATTTTTTTTCTTAAGTGTTTTTTCTCTAGTTAGTCCCCGAGAAGCTTTGTGCTAGCCCATGAGAGCCTCACAATGAAACTTGATAACAAATATAAGGAGAACCATCACCAAATTATTTATTACTGTATCTAAAATGAAAAAAAAATCATGAAAATTAGATCAAAATATTCCTTTTGTATCAATGAACTGTTTGTGTGGTGATTGTTACTAGTAAGGGAGTTTCTGAATCATTGGTTACACTGTTGCAAAGATTAAGGTCTCATCTACTAGTTATTGACAAAACATTGTTGATTTATGTTGTTGGTTTTTTTTTTCTTTTATCCTGGCTCTTCTCTTCTCTTCTCTTCTCTTCTCTTCTCTTCTCTTCTCTTCTCTTCTCTTCTCTTCTCTTCTCTTCTCTTCTCTTCTCTTCTCTTCTCTTCTCTTCTCTTCTCTTCTCTTCTCTTCTCTTCTCTTCTCTTCTCTTCTCTTCTCTTCTCTTCTCTTCTCTTCTCTTCTCTTCTCTTCTCTTCTCTTCTCTTCTCTTCTCTTCTCTTCTCTTCTCTTCTCTTCTCTTCTCTTCTCTTCTCTTCTCTTCTCTTCCCCAGACCTATAATATTTTCAGTGACGACAACCTGGAGTACAGTGGTTTATCTCGCCAGTTCCTCTTCAGGCGCCTGGAGCCATACACTCTCTATACCCTCGTACTGGAAGCTTGCAATGCAGCAGGCTGCACTCGTTCCCCACCCCAGCCGGTCCGGACAGATGAAGCACCCCCTGTGTCTCAGCTGGCACCTGTAATCCAGGCAGTGAATGCTACTAACATTGAACTGAGCTGGCTGCAGCCAATTAATCCAAATGGAAAAATAATTCACTATGAAGTTATTCACAGAAGCCCAAAAGAAAATGCTGCAGGGTACAGAGCAACAACAGAAGACGAGAAAGTTGTTTTCACAGAATATAGCACTGAAAGTAATACATTCGTGTATAATGACAAAGGTTTACAGCCATGGACAAGGTATGAATATAAAATACGCACCTGGAATGCAGCAGGCTACACTGACAGCTCCTGGACTGTGGCAAAGACTAGTCAAACTGCCCCAATGGGTCTCGCTGCCCCCAGGTTATCCCTGGTGTCAGTTAACCCCCGTAAAGTGCTCATCTCATGGGCTCCGCCGGCACAGCCCAATGGCATTCTTCAGTCATACAGGCTGCTAAAAAACGATGTTCTCTATCCTTTCAGCTTTGACGCTGCTACTTTCAACTACACAGATGAAGACTTACTGCCCTATTCAATGTACAGTTATGCGATAGTGGCCTGCACCATGGGAGGCTGCTCCACCAGTGATCCAGCTGCGATACAGACGCTGGAAGCAGCTCCTGCCTTAGTGGATCCGCCGTCTCTGCAGGCTGTCAGTGCAACCCAAATTAATGCATCTTGGGCCCCTCCTCAAATACAAAATGGAGATATCACGAAGTATATATTGAAATCAAATAATGAAGAGTATTATCCTGGTAAAAGGTTGCAAATGTTGGTTTCTAATCTACAGCCTTACACACAGTATGATTTCGCATTGGTTGCCTGTACTGTGGGGGGCTGCACATCTAGCATATCCCAGTCAGTCATGACCATGGAGGCTCCACCATTACATATGGAAGCTCCCAGGCTGCTTGTCATGGGCTCAGAGTCAATTGAAATCACATGGAAACTTCCAGCTAACCCCAATGGTAAAATCACAAGCTATGAGCTCAGGAGGGATGGTGTTCTTGTTTACTCAGGTCAGGAAAATCGGTATCTTGATTTCACCCTAATGCCAGGCATGGAGTACAGCTACACCGTCACTGCAAATAACAGTCAAGGGAGTGTGACAAGCCCACCAGCTCGGATAAAAACCAACCCCTCTGCTCCATCTGGGATGTTGCCTCCTAGGTTGCAGGCATGGTCCTCAAAGGAGATTTTGGTGGCCTGGGATCCTCCTATCAAAGTAAATGGTGAAATTAGAAATTACACAATCTCGATCCATAAGCCTGCTGAAACGGGAAAGAAAACCGTTGACTTTGATGCATCTCATGTTTCCTTTGTGAGACGGTCATACATAGTGGCAGAACTACAACCCTACAGTAGGTAAGTCAAAGACCTCGCTTGTCGAATGAATGTTGCAAGGTGATTCAGTGGGCTGGCAGGTAGCTTAACCATCTCGTTTAAACAGATAGTCAGACCCAGGGGGTTTTGCTTCCTAAAAAGCACATGATCAAGCCAGGATTTTTTTAATTGATAGTAACACCAGCTATATTTCATCTTGATGAAGCGCATAGGATGACTTAGATGGTGATGAACACAAGGAGTAATTCAGCACTCTACTATAAATTCTTGTGTACCTTTTTCAAGATGTCTGCATTCAAGAATAAATAGGGCTTTAGTTGACAAAGTCCAGGGTGGGAGACCCAAGACCTGTTAGGTAGCCCATCTGCAGTGTAGCTGAGCTAAGATTATGGAGTCACACCAGGAACATGCTCGCACCTGAAAACAAGTGACTTGTGTTTAAGTGAAAGCTAAAACTTAAGAGAGGGTACAGACTCGGCTACAGAGGGAGCACACTTAATACCAAAGTAATATCTTCCCCACTAATTCTTGATTATTTACCTGGCCTTCTGTTATATACTTGTGTGGGCATAATTTGTGTGTGTGTGTTACATGGTTGATAAGTCTGTCTACTATTTATATATAACTAATCTAAATCCAAAGAGAGAAGAGCAATAGAGTGAAGCTCTGCAGCTCTCAAATGATATCCAAATCACCTCCTATAATGAGTCATTTTGATTCATGTCATCAAAATCAAAATGATTTTGATCACTTGACTCCTGCAGATGTTAACTCTGCTCTGAAAAAAAAACCAAACACCAACAAATCAAAACCCAGAAGACAGCATTCTTCCTTTTTGCTGCACAAGGCACAGCATCTAACCTGTGTGTTCATACAAATTGTTTTCTTATTAAAGTATGCCGAAGAGCAAGAGAAATTAAGGAACTCCCCCACGCGTACTTGAATCAGATCTCATGCACAGTCCGTATTTGTTGTAAACAAATACACAGATTTGTCCGCAGCTGTAAACACCTCATTCTTGATTTGTCTTCCCAAAGGTATGAAGTACAGCTGCAGGCTTGCACAGAGCTGGGTTGTGCCTCCAGTGAGTGGGCATCGGTACAGACCTTGGAGTCGCCGCCGGCAGTGCAGCCTGCCCCTCTCATAGAAATACAGACCAGAGCGGGGGGCTTCCGGTCGACTTCTTCCATCCTGTGGACTGGCCCACAGCAGCCAAATGGGAAGATTTTATACTATGAACTTTACAGAAGGCGAACAACTCAAGCCCACATAAATTTAGACCTCACACTTGTTTACAATGGTTCTTCAACCTCCTTCAAAGATGACAAGTTGCTGCCTTACACAGAATATGAATATCAGGTGGGAATTGAAGTCATTTAGCAGCTCTGATTATGATTTCAGTACATTTTGTGAACTTTACTTTACACTTAAAATGAACATACACATTTCATTTCTAATTTTAATAGTATTGTGGTACCAGAATGATTGTTGTTAATGTATTTTAAATAGTTGAGAAGCTGAAAATAATTTTGCACAAGCAATACATTTATTCAGCAGTCATTTTTCTTTAGCTTAATTGCAAGTGCCTGTGTTTCTTTTATGTTAAATGCTTGTGTACTCTCCAGCACAAGGCTCTACTGTTATGTGAGTAGTGTGAAATTCTAGTTCTTAAAAGACAGCTTCATTTTATGAGGTCTTCTTTCTTTTTCCATCCTCCTCCAATCTATTTTGAATTAATTTTTACTTTATGATCTTAAGACAGTTCACATCAAGAGAGACTGAGGTTGTTTTCTTTTTAAATTAGATGTTAGGACCACAGACAGTTTTCATGGGTGGTTCAAAAGTGAATTTGCTGTTGATGGTTGTTGTTACGTCTCATGGACATAGGTAATTTTGCTATTGTTTTTTTCTTATGAGGCTAGGGTAAAGGAGGGAGACCAGTTCTGCCATTCTTTCACCTGTAATTTTTTTCTGTGTCAAAGATACAAATTTTAACAGCATTTTTTATCATACAGTACTAGTGACAATATAGGGTTTTACTTGATTTCAGACTATGAACTAAGAACTCTGCTATTTATAACCATCTGAAATCTTTCCCAAGTTTTTATATGAGTTAGTGGAGTTTAGACCTTCACTGAAAAAACAACCTTCAATTTGTGTGTTTCTAAAAGTAAGTGGATGTAGTATCATAGCAGGATGAAGTTGATTTTTAATATAATGTTGTCTATGAATAGGCACACTGCCACCAAACAGGATACCAGTAAGCCTCACTACCAATTCTGTACACAATATTTGTACATATGATATATCTTGAAGATAAATTTGGCAATGCTCAAAAGGCTTTACAATCTCTTCTTTTTTTTTTTCCCTAAAAAATGTTCAAGCATGGATTTCTTTTGATATATATGAAACACAGTTCATTCCACCTCTTGAACTTCTGCAAGGTGGTGGCAATCGTTCTTCTCACAGGCTCATTGGCTTTATAGGGGCACAAGATAATTCAGGTTGGAAGGGCTCTCAGAAGCCCATGCAGTCCAACTTCCTGCTCAAAGCAGGGCCAGTTAAGGCGGCAGATGGGGTTACACAGGGCTTTATTCAGTTACATCTTGAAAACCTCCAGGTACAGAGACTGTATAATCTCTCGGAGCAGTCTGCTCCACTGTTTGACTGTCCTCATTCTGAAAAAGTTTTGTTACTTTCCATCTGAACATCTTCTGCTTGAACTTATACCTGTTTTCTTGTCCCCTCCCACCACATGTCATTATGAGGAGCCTGGACTCTCCTTGTTAGCCCATAGGTGGGTGCTGGGGGACTGCCATCAAACCCTCTGAAGCCTCCTTTTCTCCAGGCTGATCAAGCTCCAGTCCTAGAGCTTCTCCTCATAGGCCAAACTCTCCAACCCACTGATTACCTGGGCGAGCTTGCACTGAACTCGCCACAATTTATCAATATTTTTCTCAGTTTTGGGGTCCAAAATGGAACAAATGTTAAGTAAAGGCATGAAATAACCTCCTTTAATTTTCGGGCTATGCTCTGCTTAAATAGCTCAAGATGCTGTTGGCCATCTTTGCTGCCAAAATATACTGCTGGCTTATGTTCCGCTTCCTGTCTCCTAGGACTTCTAGGCCCTTTCCATCAGCTGGTCAGTCCCTACCCTGTAATACCGTAAGGAGTTATTCCTTTCCAGTTGCAAGACTTTGCATTTGTCCTTGCCGAATAGCAGACCTGCCTTTGAACATATTGACTGGTTCCCTCCAGTATGGTGTCATCTGTGAATTTGATGAGAGCCCTTTACATATCAGGTGCTTCAGTAGCTGTGCTCCACTGCCACTATTGAGCTCTTTACGGTAGCCGCAAACCATGAAGTATTAAACCTAAAACATTGCTTTAACACGTTAGCAGTAGTCTATCCAGCTGCTATATGTACGTGTCATAGGCTCACAGAGTCATGTAGGCCGGGGGGGACATCCAGACGGCATCTAGCCTAACTCCCTGCTTGAAGCAAGTCCAGATAGTGCCAGCTGCTCAGGGCTGTGTCCAGCTGGGTTTTAGATGAAGTTCTCCATCTTTGAATCTCCAGAGATGGAGATTTTACAGCCTGTGTGAGTACCCAGTTCCAATTTCTTGGATATATTTCTTATTTTTCTTAGTGTCTAATTTCCTTGTTTCAACTTGTGTCCCTTGCTATTTGCTCCATTACTGTCTGAGCCCCAGAGCCTGGAGGGAGGAGTGCTGTGGTTTTCTTTATAAATCTAATTTGGGTAAAAAAAGGATTCTGAAGGAACAATTATAAAACTATTGAAAAGACATCCTAAGATGCTACTGGAAAAGTGTAGCGACTTCAGTATTCACAGTGTCCTTCTTTTCTACTTGACAGTCACAAACCTCTTTTTCTTTTTGATGTTTCTGGATTGGCAGCATATCTGTAAGGCAACAGCCAGTGTGAAAAGTGTGTCTGTTAGCTTTGTGCTGAGGAAATTATGAGCATCTGTGAGCTGACTTCCTATTGCTGATTGCAGGTCCATGCTACTTGATTTCCTTCAGTTACCTCATGGAGTCTTCTCTGCAATTAGCAGTACAAGAGGTGCTACAGTAACACTTGTAGCAAAAATGACAATTACTCAAATCCTGAAAATGTATTGCACTTTTAATATACAAGGGTATATTTTCCAGTTGTCACTTCTCTTGTGACAAAAGCTGTTAAACCTTTCCTGGAAACAGCATGCTTTAAGGGGAACTGTTTGTGGTTTAAGTCCTACTGTGTACAAATATAAAGTTTTCCATTTTTTTCCTCCCAGCCTTCCTTTAATGCCTGTGTAAGGTCCATCTGTAGGCTCACTACAGTCTGAAACCTGCTCTCCATTTACTGTTGTTGCCTTGTAGCAGGGTTGTTGTCCTTACTGTTTGGGACAGGATCTGTGCGGAATGTGAATTCAGGTGCAGATGGGACTGGCTGTAGCAAGAATTGTTGCAGACCCAAGCCTTACTTATTAGTTAGGAATCTTTTTTAGATAATGAAAAGCTTCCCAAGTTGTTACCTGAGCTGGAAGTTGTAGACATTTGCTGTGGGATATTCTCAGTTGCACCAACTTTCAATTATCTCAGACAGAAGCTGGTTTTTGAGAAGTGGATACCACAGAGACTTGCTTAAGCCAAAGTTTTGAATGATGTATTAGTGGGCAGCAAGGGAAGTCTGTTGACTGGACTCCTGTGGTTTACCATGCTGTATCCAAGACTTTGCTTTTTATCTTGTTTCTATTCCATAACCAGGCTGAGATCTTGACTGGGACTCTAAATCTTTTTTTTCTTTTTTTCCCCACTGTTGGCCATTTATTTCACCGTGAGACGTTTTAGCATGCACATGTTTGTCTTCTGCTTATGTCACTTGCAGCATTCCTCTGGGATTTATTCTGAGCCCTTCCATTGTTGACAATTTATATCTTGCCTGTGAGACGAGTTATTCATAAGTATAGGGCTTGGCTTTTGTTATTATGATGATGAAACCCAGATTTATATTTCACTTAAACTGGATATTGATTCTGCTGTCTCTGCATTTGAAGCTTGTTTGCTGGACATAAAACTTTAAATGCAACTGAATTTCCTCCAGTAGAATGCAGATAAAATCAAAGTGCTGTGATGGGACTCTCTCCAACATTTTTGGAGGTATTGAGATTTAGTTCAATGAACTCTGACAGCTTCTTTGGATCTGAACTCAGGATTTTGGAGCTGAGGTTGGGTTGGGGATTTTTCATTTGCTGGAAACTTCCACTGAATATTTAGGGCTTGTAAGACTAGATACAAAAGTTGCTCATCCAGAAATGATGAAGTGGCTTTAGAAGCTCCTGCTGGTTAAAGGGACTATACCCCTTAAATGCTTAGGTCATTATTGTTCAAGGAAGTAGTGTTATTCTTTCAGGGCCAGATCTGTATAAGCATATTAGCACCTATTAGGATTCAGTAGGTTTATAAGAGACATTAAGGTTCCTACTGTCCCATATTGGGAAATAATTACGTAGATCTTTGAAACTCCCTCTATCGGTCTATTTGCATATTTAGGGTATTTGCATTTTCTAGAGCATCTGGCTTTTTAGGTATTTGTTGGAATGTGGCCTAAGATCCTCAGCTGTATTAAACAGCTGCAATTGTGTGATCACCTGAAAAAAAACCTGACTTGAACAAACTCTAATTCATGATGTCTAATGAGTTTGCAAATAGACTGTGTAGGGCCTTCTCAAGAATTATTGAAGGTGCTGTGCAATGCTGCCATATAACCACGTATAGAGTCAGATCTGTTTTTCTCAGCTAAAGGAAGGCCCTTTTGAACAGAGAATTGTGGCATTTGTGACATTTAGTTCTGTTTGGCAAAGCGGTGTTGCTACCATTTCCATGCAAGTGCAATGTCACTCTTCCACAATTGCACTTAATTGTGCAATTAAGACTGTTTCTTTAGATTAATGGCTTAATGTCTTCCTGATTTAGGACACATCCTTATTTCCACTTGGCAAGCATGGAACATGTAAAAGACAGAAAAGTAGAATTGTCCCTTTCCAGAACATTTTATGGCTCCCTGCAAAGGTTTATTCTCCAGAAGGACTATCCGGTGTACTGAGGCAGGTGGGTCTGCAGCGCTGAAGCTGTCTGTCTCCGACCACTGCAGGAGGCACAGCATCCCTCTTGCCTGTGAAGCATGCTTCTCACACTCCAGCTACTACCGCCAAGTGAAGGATCTAGGAAATACCTCGAGATATACCAGGGATAATATGTTTGAGGTTGTCCATCTTGGATTCTCAAAGAAGAAACAAATCATATTCTGACTTCGGAGAGATAAAGAGAAAGAAAATGAGTGAAAAGTCATGAAT